TGCCGAAGCTTCATACACACCAGTGTCCCCAGCTACCGACTCATCGGACACTGCAGCGGATACACAGGCTACTTTCAGACCACACCCTGCGGCCACACTTGCAGCTGTATGAAGTAAGGGGAGGATGAAAGAGGGAAAGTCAAGGTCAGAAATCACAATTCTGATCCACTCTCCTAATGGTGAACTTCAATACCTCTGAACATTCAAATAAGATCCTTCTTAGCTCGAGACAAGGAAAAGGGTCACGTGCGATTTCATTTCTGTGATGGCTGTGCTTGGTTGTCAACTTGACCACATCTGGAATTAACTAAAACCCAAATGGCTGGATACACCTGTGAGGGGTTTTTGTCTTAATTAAATTATTTGGCGTGGGTTAATCCAGATCTTTGAGGTGAGGAGACCCACCTTTAATGTGGACCACACCTTCTGCTGGTAGCCTATAAGGACATGGAAGAAGGAAGCTTGCTCTCTCTTTGCCTATCCGTTCTTGCGTTTGCTGGCAAGTCCATTCTTTCCCTGGCATTAGAGCCTACTTACTGGGATTCTGGGGTATACTGAAGACCAGCTGAGACATCCAGCCTTGTAGACTGAACAACTACTGGATTCTAGGACCTTCTGTTCATAGGCAGCCATGTTAGATTAGATGGACCACAGCTTGTAGGTCATGCAAGTAAATCCCCCACCTCTCTCTCTCTGTCTCTTTGTGGTCTGTCTGTCTGTCTGTCTGTCTGTCTGTCTGTCTGTCTGTCTGTCTGTGTCTCTCTCACACACACACCACACACACATCCAGGGGGGATCTGTCTCCCTTTTAAAGCTATGGGAACAAATGTGGTGCATGTAAATACAAGCAGGCTAAACACTCATTCACATAAAACATAAAACTGCCTGGTTTCAAACATGGCCTTGCCATATGCTGCTTTATTACCCTCAGACACTGACTGAACCCCAGTAGGTCCCAGGTTCCTCGTTTGTGAGGTGAAGATAACAGCACTTACTTTATAGGGCTTTTGGGGGGACTGAATGTGGGAAAGTCTATAGTACAGAGACTTCTAATTCCACTGTATGATTTTCAGGGTGTGTGTGTGTGTGTGTGTGTGTGTGTGTGTGTGTGTGTGTGTGTGTGTGTGTAAGTGCATCTGCGGTGTATACATACATGTTTAGTCCAGAGGTCAACTCAAAGTGCTGTTCCTCAGGAGCCACACCCCTTGTTCTTTTGAGACAGGGTCTCTCACCCCAAAGCTCACCATTAGGATAGATTATTTGGCCAGCAAGTCCCTGGGGTGCAAGTGTCTGCCTTCCCAGTGCTGGGATTATAGCACACATTACCAATACTTTTCTTTTTTTTTTTACCACAAATTCTGGGGGTTGACCTCAGGCTCTCATGTTTATGAAGCAAACACTTTACTAGCTCACCAGACCTGGGTGGTTTTTTTTTGTTTGTTTTGTTTTGTTTTTGTTTTCTTAAAGACAGGTTTTGACAGGTAGCCAAAGCTAGCCTCAAACTCCCGATCTTTCTGCTTAAGCCTCCTGAGTGCTGAGATCATAAGCCACAGTCATTATGCCCAGAAAGTAGTGTTGTTTTCTAGGTTCTCCCTACATACCTGGGACAAATTAACAGCCCTTTGCCTCTTAAAGGAAAGCAAGGGAGGATGCATCCATAGCCAGCTCTCCCTCTCTCCCCTTAGCAGAAGAGTTTGGCTAGGGTCATAATTGGGCTCTTTACATGTGGTACACATTTCCTCCATGCCCAAGTAATGAGCACCTGTGGTGTGCATGACCCACTGCCAGGTCCTGAGCTACAAAAGGGAAGAAATCACATCTTGCCATCCATGAAGGCTAGTTCCAGGTATTTCACCTTACAGTCAAATACGCCTAAGCACCTGCGCATGCCAGGTCCTGGGGCAGATGGAGTCGACCCAGGGGCTTGATGTATGGTGGTGCACAGAGACTGGGGTGTTGGCAGGCTTGAGAAACAAGCCAGTTGTGAGGAGAGACTGGGACACATCAGGTGCTGGAGATGAGCAAAAAGCTTTCCCAGCCTTGTGCAGCACCTGCTGAGCCCTGGGGGAGACTTCCCACCTTCAGCCCCACACATCTCCACCCTCCGCTAAACCACTTAAGGAGATTAATTTGTCTGCTGACTGAACAGCAGCACTAATCGCATAACCTGCTTAGTGGCTGAGCTCTGACTGGCACTGCTCACAACAGGGGAGGTTGCTGGAGATGGCGTGAAAGAAACACATTGTCGCCTAGTGCTATCTCTTCTAGCCCAGGAGTCCTGAGAATACTGTTGGGAGGGGAAGGGTCTTTCTCCAGGACCTGGTTTAAGTCTGAATGGCCTGATGTAGCCCTGGATCCTGAACAAAGACTTCTTAAGCCAAGGCAGAGGTTCTACCCACACCCCCTTCTCTCTGGGGATCAATTTGCTGAGGCTGGCCACCTGCAATATGAAGAAGCTTGTTTTTATTTTTATTCAAGAGAACTCAGCGAGATTCCCTTCCTGATGAGGGAACCCCAGGGATCTCTCAGCCTCTCTTTAAAGAAATGGCTGATACTCAGTGCCTTTAGTTAACAGGAAAACCCCACTCCCCTCCCCCAGCTCCTATGCACAAACTAGCAGTTCCAGGAACAACAGCCACACTACTGCCCATTCTAAAACAGACAATAGACACTTCGAAGAGGTATGAGGTTTAAATGGATAAACATATGTAGCATGACCTGAGCCTTGTATGCCTCGACCCAAACACAAAAGCCAATAATACTATTCTTGCTAGGACACCAAGCGTGCAAGGTGAAGCCCCCAAATGAGCTTAATGAGCACTCTGCTGCAGCATGTCTGGGTGGGGCTAGCAAGTACCAAGAGAGTCACACATTTGTGGGACACTGAGCTACCTTCCACCCAGGGATTGGGCTCTGGGATCAGAAAGACCTAGGCTTCCAGGGCTAGCTTCCTCATTTGCTGTGAGGGCAACCCTGGCCAAGGGATGTTACCTCTTTGAACCTCAACTTCCTTATCTATAAAATGGGCAGAGAAGAAACAACTCGTTTTCTTTTCCTTTCTTTCTTTCTTTCTTTCTTTCTTTCTTTCTTTCTCTATCTCTCTCTGTGTCTCTCTCTTTCTTTCTTTCTCTTTCTTTCTTTCTTTCTTTCTTTCTTTCTTTCTTTCTTTCTTTCTTTCTTTCTTAATACAACACATTTCAGATAAGTGTGGAGAACTGCAATTTAATCTGTGACAGTGGGTACAGTTTTCTGTCTCATAAACCTAGGGTGTCATTTCACTAGCAGCAGTCAATCTGGAGAGTCTCATTTGAATCCTAACCAACTCTGGAATGTTCTTTTTGATTTAATGAAGAAATGCAAGTCATTCCCAGGCTTCCTAAGGTCGCATGGGTCCTTGTTATAATTAGTATAAAATCCACATCCCACTACCAGGTCCTGTGAGATCAGGACACTGCCCCAAATTATGCCCACTGCTGTGGTTCCAGAGATTTTACTTCCTCCCTTCTTTGCTCTGTCCCTTTCTACCCACCCACTTTTAAATTAAACGGATTATCACAGTGTGTATATGTGTATGTGTACATGTGAGTGTATCATGGTGCCCATGTGGAGGGAGGTCAGAGGACAAGTTTTGGGAGTCAGTGCTCCTTTTACTGTGGCTTCAGGGGATTGAACTCTGGCTCTCAAGCTTGTACAGCCAGCACCTTTACCCACTGAGTTGTCTTACCTGCCCATGGTTTTGTATTTTGAGATAAGCTCTCAAAGCTTCCAACCAAATTGGCTACACAGTGGAGGATGACTTTGCACTCCTAATTCCTATGCCTCTTCTCCCTAAATGCTGGGATTATAGTTGAATGCTGCCACACCTTCTTACACTTATCCCCCGAAGTCCTTTTCATCATTTAAGTCTCTATCCATTCTGAACCAGCCATCTCACCTCCATCCAAAGGCTCTCCCACGTACCCTGCTTATTTACTTCACATGCTTTTGTCTAGTACATATCTAGTGCCTGTGACTCCAGCCGAACCCAACCTTTTCAAGAGTGGTGTCTGCCATCTACACGGATCCTCAGCAACTAAGTTTGCCATATGACATATTTATGGAAAGCTTAGCTGAATTAATCAATGTACATTCAATTAGCCAATCTGGGATTCATTTTAGTAGGTGCTAAATATCTGTTGAATGTAATCCACCACAACAAAACAAAACCCTAGCCTAGGACCTAGTGCATTCTGCATTTGTCAGTATCTGCTTAATAAATAACCAATCACATAAAGACACAGCCATAGACAGTTGTCAGGAATTATGACAGGAACCCCCTGCCTCCTGGTTCCAAATAAGGACACTATGCTTCTTACCTTGGCCCAGTGACTTGCCCTCAGGTCCGGGTTCCTCCAGCCGGTATCTGTCCCGGTTACTGCTGCCAAGGCTCAGCTCACAAAGAGTGGTACTCAGCTCAGTGTCTTCAAACTCCAGCGGGGTCAGAAAGGCATCTCCAGTCAGGAGGGGATCAGTGATGAGAGGGGAGCAGGGAGGGGATGGGGAGGAGAGAGAGGAGCGAGGTGACAGGGAGGTCATGGATTTGGGAGTGCCAGACAGGGAGCGTAAGGCCTGCAGGCGGCTGCCTCCTTCTGCCTTCTGTGTTTTGGCCACCTCATCCTCATGGATGAGGAGGAGGGACGGAAGCCTGTGGCACCCTCCAGGAACAGCAGTTCCACCTTGCTCTGGAGCTCCGAGTCAAGCTGCTCGAATGGGTCGTAATAGAGGTCAGTGAAGCTGGCTGAGGTGGAGGAGTCCAGGCTAGAGGCAGCCAGGGAGCCCCGGCTGGAAGTGAGTGACCCAGGGCTGCTGCCTGAAGACAGTGACTGCATGCTGCTTGAGAGGCTGGGGGCAGGGAGAGGAAGAAAGAGATGACAATAGAGTGAGGTGGCAACTGAGAATTCCAGAATTCCACCAGGCTCCTGAAAATAGAGATCCTGAGAAGTAGCAGAGGTGGGATATGGACTCAAGTTCAGTCTCTTGCTTTGTAGGTCAGGCTGGCCTCAAGCTCTTGATGCTCTCATCTGAATCCCCGAGTGCTGGGATTACAGTTGGAAGCCATACACCTGGCTTCCACAGTTTCCTTCCATCCTTGTTTCCTATTGGTCACATTGCATCTTTATTGAAATATTTTTGTTTGTTGAATATTTTGTATTCTTTTATTGATTGATTGATTGAGATGGGAGTCCCACTGTGTAGAAATCTTTTTTTTTTTTTAATTTATTTATTTATACAGTCAATACAGTCTTCTGCCTGCATGCCAGCAGAGGGCACCAGATCTCATTCAAAGTGGTTGTGAGCCACCATGTGGTTGCTGGGATTGAACTCAGGACCTCTGGAAGAACAGTCAGTGCTCTTAACCATTGAGCCATCTATCCAGCCCAGCCTTGAAATCTTTATTAATATTGTTCTTGAGATCAACTCCCACTTTTTTTTTTAAATAGTTTTATATGGTCTAGGCTGATCTCAAACTCACTATGTACCTGAGGTTGGCCTTGCAGGTATATACCATCACACTCAGCTCAATTCACTTTGTTTTTGAGATAGTGTTTCTATATGTATTCCTGGTTGTTCTGGAGCTTGTTATGTACACCAGGCTGGCCTCAGATATCTACTGGCCTGGACCTCCACAGTTCTGGGATTAAAGGCATGTGACACCATGCCCAGCCTTAAGTCACATTTTTAGTATGTTAAAAATATTTAACTTAAAATGCTAGAAACAGGAAGAAACTACTTTTGTTGGGAATGGGGGGGGGTGAAGAACTTAACAAAATGTTACTATGAGGTTCCAGATATACTTCAGCCTTGTAGGAGTGGGTTGGCAGGCAGGAGTGATATGCTTTCAGGCATGTGGGCATCTTCCTGGGGCCATCTCTGGGTGTACAGTCCCAAGGGATGGAAGATCACAGCCAGCCACCCTGGCCAAGCCTATCTCTGCTAGAATAACCACTATGCATCTAATAGTCAAGGAAGATTGGTGAAGGGCAGTGTGGAGCTGGATCACCTCCTGACAGGGGACGGTCACCACCCACCACTCACCTTTTCAGCTGACAGTGCAGAGTGGCCACCTGCCGGGTGGCTTCCTCCAGTTCTCTCACCAGCTGGTTCCTCTTGCTGTTTAACTTCAACCTGAAGGAAGAGAAGGCATGACAATGACTTTCCAAAGGGATGCCATGCTCCATTTCCCTTCCTAATCTCCAAAAAGGAAAATGAGGTCCGTGCCCTAAGAGATGGACATACCAACAACCCAAAGACACATGCACAGGGACTATAAAAAATCTTTCTTACTAAAGTGTCATGAAGACATATAGCCTTTTCATATATAAATTCTATAGTAACTGTGTTGCCACCTGCCATACATTACAGACTAAACCAGCAACCTGAATACATTGCATTGATTTAATGTGCAATGATATGCACACGTGAAGATTGATTTTAACTATTTTACAAATGAGGAAATTGAGGCTCTGAGTTACATAATTTACTCAAAATTATGGAAGTAGTGGAAGAATTAGTATTCTACCAAAGTACTATTCCCTCCCTCTCCTCCTTCCATCTCTCTCTTCCTTTCCTCTCTTTCAACAGCTATCTCCTCTCCTTCTCTCACTCCTCCTTTTCATCAACAAGCATTTGCTGAGTACCCAGGTCACAGTAGATGCTGTCCCTGGCATCACAAACACGGCACTGAGGGAAACAGAACTCATTTGTCACTCTTCTAGAGCATGAAGGGTGGAAGACAACAGGCATCTAATTAGCAGAGGGTGTGACAAGATCGAGAAGAAAAGAACAGAGGAAGGGAACCTTAATTTAGACTTTGAGCAAATGGCTTTGTGGCCAAGATTTCTGGATTCCACCCTTGCCTGTGTCCTGGGTTCTCAGGCTTAAAGCAAGATCACTTTCCCAGGTTCCCTTGCAGCTGGCTGAGGCACATGAGCAACTTCTAAACAATGGGATATGAGTAGAAGCCACGTGTATTGGGCTGATGTGTTTAAAGGAAGTGGCTTCCTCAGACTCTTGTGGCCTTAAAGGGGAGGTAGAAAGGCTGTGGGCTCTTCAATGACAAGGGAGGCTATCAGTTACTGGGACTACTAAGATATTATGTCGGTAAGAAATAAACTTAAAGAGTGTTTATCCACAGAGATTTGGGGCTATTCTTGTGGCAGGTGGATCCCCTACTAACAGAGAGATTTAAGTGGCTCTATAGATAAGAGCTTCGGAGGAAGGGGGACTCTTTTTCCTAGATGAAGTGACTGTGTTCATTCACTCTGCTGTGAGTTTGGATAATAAATTTCCATGTTGAGGTGATTTACTACTCTCTGCCACCTTGCTGGAGAAGAAACTGACTGACCCTTGTTCCATGGACTCAGGAAGGCATCAAGAACTCAGCCAGCCCCACCTGGGGCCTGAGGTCAAGGGTTGGTTTCCATACAAAAATCAAACCAAACCAAGTCATCTCTCTGCCACAGTAGCCAGGCCTCTAGCTCATGAGACCAGAGGTGGTCCTAGACACAACTTGAGAGCACAGAGGGCACGCTGGGCTGTTATTACTGGGCAAGTGAACCTGCAAAATTACTGACAAGACAGCGAGAGCGGTAAGCCAACTGTAGGCCGACTGGCCTTGGCAGGAGTCTTGGCCAACTCAATCTCTAGAGCTTTCCTCCCAGATTCTTGCCTGGGGCTGATGGGGACAGAGAGCAGGCTGGCAGATGGGGCCTGTAATGAACAAACCCTAGAATTCTCAATGGAATGGACGAGGCTGTGCAATGTCCCGTCTCTCTCGAAGAGCAAAGCTCACAAAGGAGGATATGTCTGAGGTCAAGAAGTGGGGCTCATGGTTTCTATAGAGCAAGCGTGAGGATGTTGAGAGCAAATGTAGGTCCCCACTGAAGCCTGCACAGAACAGTGAGGGAACTGTCATGGAGCTGACTTGACTTCCTGAGCATGGCAGGAAGGCCAGACAATAACATGCAGGTGCTGTGGTCCCCTCCCAGGGGCAACAGGCTTAGCAGGCCAGATGGCATGTGAGTGATGTGCCCAGCACATGCTGGGAGGCCATGAATACATCAATTGTGGAAATAGGCAGACGATCCAGGGGGTGGGGTCTGAATGCTCACAAGCTGTAGCTT